AGGCTTAAATTTTTTCTTCAGTTCTTTCAGCTTGAAAAATGCTGAGCGTGTTCTTCCCTTTTGGTTTTCTAACTCCAGGTCTTTGCATATTTCATATTTCATTATAATACTTTAGTTTGCCTTCTTGCGCCACCCTTTGGAATCTTCTGCTCAGTTGCTATTACTATCGTAGTTATTAATAAAGGCTTTATGACAAAAGTTCACAGTAGTTGTCTTTAGAACGTAGACATATGAATGATTTTCAGTTTCTTTTATATTTCCTAAATTTTCATCATTAAATATATATTTGTTTTGTAATAAGGGAAAACAATAGCTATTTTTAAAAATGTACCACTCAGTAAGAAGTGAAAGGCTTTAATATAATCAGTTTATCCACCTGTTTCTCACTTCTGCTTTCAAAAAGTCCATGGTAGTAGAAAAGGCTTTAACACAAAGACCTTTGAAAATTATTTCTCAATATGCTGCACTTGGAATTTTGAGAAAATGTCCCTGTCCTACAGGCACACGGACAGGCATATATGAGCAGCAACCTATTATGTAAACATCAGCTACTATCTTCATTATCCAAAAGCCAGTAAGAAGCTCTGCTAGAATACATATAAAGGAAATTTCATACAATTCCTTTCTTTAAGATAACTGGGAAGTGGATTTTTACACATATTCTGTGAGGACATGAGTACCAGTTTTGCCAAACACATCACAGTTCATCAGCTGTATTATCTTACAGTGCAAAGAAAATGAAAGATACATTAATTATGAATATGTTTACAGCCCTGGACAAGTAGATAAAATGAAAAATTAATATGCTATTATGCTTTTTCCTCACCTTACCAAAATACTTACACTTTTTGTATGAATTCTGGAAAAGGAGGTATATGGTGCCAAAAACTTAGAAGATGAATTTTCCTTTAAACATGAAATATGAATGCTTTTCTAAACAGAGGGAGAAAGATGAAATCCATCAGTTCAGTATCCCAATGTAATTACAGCCTCTTAAAAAAAAAAATTAGGACTACAGGAAATTCTCACCTTTTAAGTATACCCTCTCTAATCCTCCTTCCCCAGCTCACAAAACTAATACCCAGTCCTCCATAGCTCAGCAGTCCTTTCACTGCAGAGGGCTGCACTGTAATCTGGTATCCCTAAGATGACATTATTTTATCTCTTTTATGCTGAAGTAAAATGTCCCAGAGAAGTCAGGTCAACAACAAGATACGACTGACAAACATGACAGCACTAATTTTTAGAAGAAAATCTAATACTAGTACTCGCAATTAGCAGTAGGGCAAGGAACAGGATCAGCAGAAGAGTGTACACGGAGATGTGAAGAAACTTAGCACCAGCTCTCAAGCCTAGGGCCTAAAAGGTGAGTCTAAAAGTAAATTTGCTGCCTGTAAGAACTAAAAGAAAAAATGTTAGACTACTGACATGTATAGTTCCCAGAGAAAATTGATAAAAAAAATTATGGTACATTCATACAGTGTGTAGGCCCTGATCAGGCTTGTGGTGCTCATTTCCACCTAGGACTTAAACTGACTGTACGTGTTCATTGACTGGTCATTGTCATACAGCTGTATTATGATTCCTCACGTGTTTTGTCTAGTCATTGTCATATATCTTTCAGCTATGGTAGCAAGATTACCCTAGTGGTGTAGAAGGAAATTATACCTGGAACCAGATGTTAAATTCAGGTAACAGGACTTGCTAAAGGTAGTCTTTGTAACCATTTAAGGTAAGCATATTGGTGTTTTGAGGTGGTATACATAGATGTATAAAAGGCTTGGTAAATTCTTCCTCAAAGATTCCAGCAATGTTACAATCCCTCACTCTAAACCAGCCGAATACCATTAACAATATATATTCCATTAGAGGCTGAGGAGCTGCACTTATCAAACAGCCTTTAGCCTATTATCTCCTCTGTAGTACTACTTTAAAGTTTCTGGAAATTCTGCAGGACAATGAAAATAACTTGAATAATCAAGATTTTCTGAACCTCTTTATAAGGCTGTTCTATGTCCAACAAGCACAGGTTTCCACAGTTCATTAGAAAGAACAATTTCAAAGTTATAATATTCTCATCTTTTTTCTCACCACTGAAAATCAGTGTGCTCTTATTAAAGGTGTACTCCTTTTAAAAGATGATTAGAATAGCTATACAAACAGTACCTTCTTAGCCAGCATATTCATGCCTGGCTGCTGCAGGCCTTTTATTAAATGAGTTTTTGCTTCTAACCGCATGACAAAGCCAACATAGCTGCAAGAGACCAGATCTGGATCTGCAACTGCCTCCTGTACCGGAAACTAAAGTGTCAGTAAACTCTCCTGGCTGAATCTTCATACCAGCAAGGATGCAAAAAGCTCTAAGAGATTAGTGTTCAGGCCTTTGTAAGAATTAGGTCTGTAACTCCGAGAGTATGGCCCCCAGACACCCTTTTAGCTCAGTGGTGAAGTCACTCCCGAGGTTCACCGTTCAGCCGGGGACTGGACAGCCCCATAAAACAAAATGAGACTAATGAGGCACAGCAGTCCAGGGACAAGGACTAGAAGAAGTAAGGAGGGAACAGGAAAGCTGGTGATAGGGAACCCCATGTTGACATGTCGTGGGGTTGTTAACCATTGTCATAGGGCAATATCTGTACTGTTTAATGAGAAATTATTTGTTCTGTAAACCTTCATTTAAGGTACAAAAAAATAAAAGTATTATCTATGTGAGATCAAACTGACAACAGCAACTCAAAAAGTTTGTTGGGAAGCCTAGGGGGCAGTGAGTTGAAGACAATGGTGATGGAATAATTTGGAAAAGGATAGTGAGAACAGCAGCACAACTGGAAGAATGTAATCAATGTCACTGAATTGTACATGTAGAAATTTCTGAAATGGTGTAACTTTGGTTATGTATATTTTCACCAAAAAAAGGTCCT